ACGCTTATTGCACGAGAACTAATAAAGCGATTTCAAAGAAAAGTGTGGCGTTTCAAAGATAAAATTCCAAACCTGTCGACAGATTCATTTTTGTAAATAACCAATTCGGTTTCTGTCGTAAAAACAACGGTAAACATTGCCTTATTTTGGGGTCAATTTTGAGCCTTTAAAGTGCTCTAGCAACTTATTGTTGGCACATATAACTTTCATTTTCGGGATATAGGTTCTTTGGAGCAGTAGAAATATTATCGGGTACAAATTTTATATAAATTTAACAAATATTGAGCATTTTAAGGCAAAAAATTGTTGAAAAAATTTGCAAATTTTTTTCATTACCAAAATGCTCGAAAACCGCTCGAATGATTTTGTTTTTGTTTTCTTTAATCAAAAATTCAAGAGTTTTCCTTTCGTTTGGTATATGGGAAGTATTGGTTGATATCTTCTATATATGTTTATTTTATTCAAATATATGGGCATAAATGATTTTCCATACAAAATCACCTCGTCATCAATTTGCAAACATGTGCATATGTTGGAAGTGTGGGAAGGAGACAAAAAGTATGTATGCGTATGTAATGCGGCTTTTGATAAACAGAGGCGCGCTATTTATAACCTAATCGCAGCGTGTGTACATATGTAAATACATACATACGTACATATGTTGATTGCAGTTAATGTGGATCTGTTTCTATTTTTAGTAATCTATGTATGTCTATACATACATATGTACATACATATTATATATGTACATACATATATGAACACATGTATGCATAATACGCGAAGACTTTTCGAAGTGAAACAACATTTAGAAAAAGTCCAATCCAAGAATAAAAGTAAAGGTGAGGACGTACATAGATAAAGAAAAGGATAAAGGCCAAGGTAAAAATAAACACAAAAAAAAAATGGTATAAAATAAAAATAAAAATAGGGCTTTCGCTTATATTCTCATTGAGTTCTTTTCACTTAGAAGTATGTAAATTTGTAAAATTTTGGAAAAACCCTTTTTTTCTTAGTGTGTGATTTCATTTTTGACTTGGATATGCTCTTAACCATACCACGTATTCTACGTTTAAATATAGCGGCTGTATCTCCGATACAGCCTGCAGACCAAGACGAAGGCGCTGGACTGTTCCTTTTTTTTTTTGTATGGGGAGTGATGCAGTCTAATGTACATATGTATATATATTAGGGTGGTCCAAAAAGGCATTTGAACAAGTATTATAGGAATTTTAATTCTCTGTTTTTTTATTTTGAAATCAAAATATATTTAGAGGTCTCTCAAAGCGCTTAAAGTTTTCCATGTATTTTATATGAAAACAAATCAGTTTCCATAGAAATGGTATAGAATTCTTAAAATCCAATATTTTTCGATCTAAAACCTCTGTTTCTCTTCAGTAATAATACCAAATTGTTTATTATACCATTTTTAAATACTATTTAAATTGAATTTTTGGGGTTTTTAGGGGTCCTATAAAAAATAGCTAATGAAAGAAAATAGTTAAATAAAGGATTGAGTAATGTAACTACAAGTCTTCTGAAGTGAAACAAAGTTTTCCGATCGAAAATATTGATTTTCAAGGATTCTATAACATTTCTACGAAAGCTTTTTTCCCCATATACATGGAAAACTTTGAGCGTTTTGAGCAACCTCTATATATCTTTTGAGTTCGAAATAAAAAACAGGGGTATAATTCTTTTCGATATAGGGCATTAAAGTTCCGATTTTACTTTTTTTGGACCACCCTAATTTATGTACATACATATCTAAAATAAATCCCAATCTTGAAAAAATTGGGAGTTTTCTAGGTTTTTCTTACATTCAATGTGGGCTCGACTATGTAATAATTATTTAAAAAACTCAATTGATATTAATGTTTTTTAAATATTGACAACTGAAATGCAAAAAGACGTAACAAACATCATCGTTGATATGCAAAAAGTCATAACTAATAAAAAATTCAAAATGAATTTCATCGTTATGAAAAAGATTAAAACATTTGACACAACTTTTTCCGTTTCATTTACGAGCTGGGCTTAAACGTATTTCATGTTTTTAAAGTAAAAAAAAATAAAATAATTGAATATTTTTTTTAATATTAATAAAAATAATTCGTATTGAAAAATAACACATATTTGATATATTGAAAGCCATTTTAAAAATTAAAAAAAAAAAAATTTTAAAGCGAGCGAACTCAAACAGTCCATAAATTATCTTAAAGTTATTCGTATTTATTTTCACACTTAAAAGGAATTAATTGTTTACCTTTTCTATTGTGACTTGTATTTACAAATCAAATCGACTTTTTTGTATCACACAGGGCCTTATAAATAAAAACTAAGCAATTGATTTTTCTTAAAATTTCAGACCTTTTACGTAAATTTATTTGAATGAATCAAGCAAAAGTTTTGAAATCTTAAGAAAAAGCAACTGCTTAGTTTTTATTCATAAGGTCCATTCACTGAAATCTTCTTCCAAATTGTCCTCACTATCGCTTCCATTCAACGATATTTCTTCCAACCATTTTAGAACTTGTTCTTCATAGGTACACCTCTCGAAAATTAAAAAAAAGGTCAAAACAGAAAATATCCAACTAAAATAAGTACAATAAACAAAATTACCTTTACTACTAACGTTCGCCTGTCAGGCGTCAAAAGGGCGTGGAACTCAGCCGCGCAAGGCTACTGTACAATGTGCGTCTGCTAACAACCTCGTACAGTGCTAAACTGAGTTGGCGTGAACGCTTTGATCATTAAAAGCGTTCCTGAAATATTGCGAGAAAACCGAATTCGTTCCACCTCACAGACGAACGTTAGTATTTATTCTATGGTTAAACGAGGTTCTGGAAATAAGAAATACTATTTCTACCCTAAAATATGTGATAAACCTTTTCTTTTGCGAATTAATGACATGCAAGAATTATGCTCCTAATACATCACGTTTACGTGAAACAAGATGGTCGGTAAAATATAAGGCTATTAGGAAATTTTCAGAAAATTTTCCTGAAGTTCTAGAAGCTTTCGAAAAGTTGTCAATGGAGGGAAACTTTTCCACAAGAAAGTCTACGTATCAATTGTGTGCTGCTATAGCAAGGCCGAAGTTAATAATTTCTTAAATGACAATTGCTAAAATTCAATGTTGCTACAGCAAACGTTTTGCAGGTGAAGACAACAGACCTCATCGCTGTTGGGCAGCATATTGGAAATATTTTGGCGGTGGTTAGGAATGATCGCAAGAATGCAGAAAGAGTCACTACGGAGTAAATAAAAAAAGTCGTATGATTACAGTCGATCAAGGAGTAGTAATTTTCCTACCACGTTTGGCAGGTAAACAAAAAAACAGAAGTAACCCCTATCGGTCAATGAAAATTAGGACTGGCGACGGTCTATAACAAAACCGTATCTAGATTCACTAACGGCATCTTTAAAATCAACGTTTTTCCAATGAAAATACTACAGCTTTTTCGCTGTATAGATTGCACCCATTGTATTCGATTAAAGCTCCCAGAATTGCAGCGGACGACGGTGAAGCGGTCGACGGTTAACTAGTTATGGTCCGTGAACTCATTCTTTGGTATAATTTATGGAAGAAAGAGAAAAAGAATTTGTCCAAAGAAGATTTGAAGGATATTTAAGTTGTAGATCTATTTAAAGAAGAAAGCGAATTTCTACCAGCGCTTTTCCATGCACAACAGCGACTGTGGAGCGATCGTTTCGTAGACTTCGTAGCTCAGAACCACTTCGTGACTCAGAACCACAACAGGAGAAGAAAAGCTTTCTGGGCTATGCCTCATGATCGTCCATAGAAAACTCGTTACTGAAAACCGCGAGGTGATTCAGAAGGAAATAATCGAAGAGTTTGTTGAAAATCCGAGACGATTGTTATTTGCGTAAAAATGATTAAATAAAAATATATCAAAAAAATTATTATGTATATATAGATGCAGATGAATTTGAATATTTGTATAGATATTAA